CACAACCATACAATAGGATGGGATAAGATGACAGTTTTAAAATCTTATGTAACAGCTGGGTGGAGGGAAAGATTGATAACATGACCTTTGTTTATCAAATCAACTGCAAATACGTGTAACAGGAATGATTCAAAACCTGTCCAGCTGGATATCTGGAAAATTCTACTACCCCAACGACGACAAATAGGAGAGAACAAAGAAAACTATAAAACTCGAGTTTCGAAGTCGTGTGATTACAATTGATGAAATGATTATGAACAATAAATTTTGTTCGAAACGTCATCCAGTAAATAATACTGTTTCACTGTGTGAAACATCTAATAAACAAACTAATATGGAATTTTTTACTACCACAGTACCCAAGTTTTACACATTTATTAATAATTCAGCTGTCGAACATTTTGAATACTACGTTTTCTTTTCTATCTTTTCAACAATTTGCTTGATTGTCAATTTTTAGGAGAAAGTTCAAAAGACTAGTTCTTCCACAACCTAACAATGTATCTACAAGTATCATCACTCATGAGGAATTTATTTGATGAAACACAGAGTAATACTCTCATTGAACACTAGTTAGTAACTAGTGTCCTTTCTTTGATGCAGACTAAATTCTATCAGTCCAGTTCGCAATATGATCACCATGGTAGGTGGCTCGCTACCACTTGTCACTTTGAATTGCTGTTATTAGGTGGTTGGAAGCAATCCGCAGGAATTCTTAGACCTAGGTTTCTTGCTTGGTGACACTCGTCAACCCTAGTTACGACCTAGTGTCGATCAAAGTATCCAGTACAGTCCTGCAGGAGGTCATTCACTACTCCGAATAGCTCTACATTAATATCTGTGACTACAGTAATTGGTAAAATGGATTTAGATCTCATGATGGGTATGAGTTCCTTCAAGATCGCAGTTATGCCTTACTGACTGACGAGTGCCAACTAGCACGAAATTTAGGTCGAAGGCTTCTTGCCGATCACCTCCAACCGTCTAAAAAGGTTGTAATGTATTGGGCAATATTACCTGATAACCTCTCGATCATGGTATAGTACTCATTACCGTATCAGAGTAGTTTTACATGACTTAATATTGTAGTGTATTATATCAAATAAAAACTATTTATTTCGGTAAGAGTGCTCTAATTAGAGTGGCAAAATTATACTCTTACATCAAACTTCATTTATATTTTCCACCTATTTTTTTGTTTATATTAAAACTGACTTTAAGAAACTCCACGATATCTTATTTTCACACACACCATTATTATTTCACGCTAGATAGCTAACGAATGATTGTTGTTATTCATAGTTGCTATTTTTGTTGTTTTTATTTTTGTTTTATCTTGTTTATTTCACACACCTCAATCAACAAACTAACAAAACGGTTTACTTCATGAGAAAAAAGAAAGGGAAAGTGAAGCAATGTGATCCCAAAAATCACGATATATGAAGACACCATCATCATCAACAATTTATTTTAATATTCTTTTTCTTGTCGAATGGAAAAGTGGAAAACAGAAAAACAAGATAGCATAAAGTAAAACAAGCCTTGAAAACAAGTGATCGAAGAAGTGTAGACCTAAAGAAAAGTATTGAGGCTTTTCAGTCTAGAAGAAACTAAAGAAGTGATAAATGAAACAGGGTACACTGTGGTGACACGGAACAAGGGTAGGGAAAATATGTTTTGAGCATACAGTTTTTGAAGGGACCAGTAAACAGCTCATCACCAACTGAAACTATTCAGGCGGATAAAAATGAATGCATTAAGATGGGAGAAGGGAACAGTTGACAAACAAAAAAATGATACATATTCGTGTATTTACTCAAAGAATAAAAGAAAATAAGTAATATTTTTAAGAATTCTCTTTATCCAAAGAAAATAATTGCAATCAACCAAAAAAGAGTAAAGGGAAACACGAAGGGTGATAATAAACATTACAAATATATATATATATATATTGCAGAAATTTGATTTTGTTCTCCAAAACTTATTCAGAGATATTAAATGTATGCTGAGTGTTCCATTCCGGAGGGTTTCTTAACAATTATAATATTGTGTTGCTTTTATCGTCAAGTAAACTGTCCTTCACGATTTGTTATCAATAAATGAAGAAAAAAATATTGTATGTCTTTTATAAAAATTCAGCTTTCTGATGACTTTTGTCAGTTCAGTGAGCAAGATGGCCTTCGCATATATATATATATATACCGAATTATAGGTATTCTGCAATAGAAATGCATACAAACATAGTAAACAGGTAGTCAGTCATTGAGTAGGTTAAGAATTATCAATCCCTAAAATCCTGTAGATTATTTGCAGAATCATGGTGCATCATTGAAGAGAAAGAATTATAAGCTCTGTGTATTTATTAATCATAAACTCACAGAAGCCGTCCAGTACTCCCCGATGGTTTTCCAATGGTTATCTAACTGATGTTAGCTTACGATCAGAATTGTAGCCTTTCAAATACCTGCAAACTAACACTTGAAAATTAATCTGGTGCTCAAGAGCCACTGACTCTATAGAGAAAGTTACTTGGAGTTCTGATGAGAGGCTGTGTAACCAGTGGAGTCTACCAGGTCAGGTTAGAGAACAGTTACTCACCTGTAACACTGGCTGGTAGTTGCGTTGAATATTGCGAATTGATAAAAGTTTGACTTCATGCATCATAGGGTCAGGTCTCAGTGGCCGGCCTGGGTTCGAACCTCGGTAGGTGTGTACTCCTGAAGAGCTCCAAACCGGGGCGAAACAGCCATCCAGGACTCCTTTCTGGTTTTTAACGGTTCTCTAACTGTTGTCGACTCGTGCTCACTGAGGAAGAGATTTCATTTAAAAGTTTGCGACTCTACGGTAGTATCATCAGATAAACGTCTGTGTTTATGGTGAATAAATTAGCAGGTTTTTTTACTGTATGTGAATATATTGACTTAAACTTTATGGATGCTGTCATCTTAAAGCATCTTGACGCAACATTCAATCAGTGTTACCAGCTAATAACTGTCTATTATCCGAATTTAATGATGGAATTAATTAGCCGTTAAGAGCTGAATTAATCCATCTTGAGATCAACCACTAATGACCACTGAAACGTGAATTAACTATGATATTTGTGCGTGTCATATGAAGTTGTCTTATCTGCTTTGGTCTCCCATTGATTCTGAAACAAATGTTAGTGTATTATTATTATTCCCCTAAGAGTTCCAAGTGAAACATAGGGCTTCAAAAGCACATTTTCATTTTATCCTCTTTCCTGAGGTCTTTCTTAACTGGCTGCACAACTTCCTATAAGCTCTCATCTTTTCTTCACATCATCTCTTCCAAATCTTCCTCGGATTCCACTCAAGGGCCTGCTGCGCCATGTCAATGTATGATGAAAACTATTTTGTAAGGCTTTGGTTCTACAAGTTGTTTATACAAATGAACTCACCATATAACGCTTTCACGACTTCCCTGTTTATATACATTTATTCCAGTTCTTTTACAGTGTGTAGTGTAGGACGCCAAACAGTAAGACGATGAACACATGCGTAAGAGTGCCCGTTGCACAAATAGTAAGCCTCTTAAATCAGTAGTTTAGTAAATAAATAAGCTATGACGATTGGATCCGACTCTTCGCTGAAAAACCAGTACTCACTGGAATGCTTATGTATCATTGCTGATTAGTTCCAAGATGTTTTTTGATGTGGTTGTGTTCTCTGAGCTGGATAGTTAATTTGCGCAGCTTTCATTGCCCTACTAGGCGACATCTTCAGCGCATACTTCAATTCGAATTGAAGTGAGCTTTTAGATTCCTCCACGAGTTTATTAGTCATCTCTCCTGATGACCTTGAAAGTGATTAGTTGTTTTTGTGTGTTTTCACACCCTCTAGGCTATTTGCATTGAAACTGATTGTTTCCTTGACTTGAACTTTGAGCCTTTGTGTGTGAGATTTCCTCGTTATCTGTTGGTAAATTTTGTCTATGTCGATGTGTTTATTGATTGACTATTCACTGGTATAATAGAGTTCTAAAAAATCTCAAGCATTCTTGGTGTTTCCTCTGTCTAAAATTTGAACGTTCGCCCAGTCGAATTGATGTCCGTATTTGTCTGTATGCAGTGAGGCAATATGATGGAGAGGATGTCATGTCTTTTGGCAGCTAGCTTATGTTTGTGGATACGAAGACGAAGGGGACGTCCATTTGGCCTATGTACTGTTTTTTGCAGTTGTTACAATTTATTTTGTAGATGCTGATATTCGTTTTATCTTCTTTCGTTGTTGAGTCTTTTGGTTGGCATAGAACTGAGTGAAGTGATTTTGTTGGTTTGTGTGCTACGTCAAATCCTAAAGGTTTGAAGAGTCTTGTGGTGATTTCTGAGATGTCCTTTTTATATGGTAGGGCGATTTTCTTTGTGCTTTCCTTTGATTTGATAGGTTGGCTTTGATGAAAGTCCTAGAATATCCATTCCTTTAGAAGACATCCATGAAATATCTTTCTTCACTTTTCCTTGAGATGGAAGTGATGCAATGAGTCCTGGCCCTCTTGAATAGAGTTTGTATACAATTCCTTTTGTGTGTTATTGGATTGTTTCTGTTGTAAATCAGTATTTGGTCTGTGTGAGTTGATTTTCTATAAACTTGAGTTTCTAATTCCTTTGTGGTTGTTCCAAGAGGAGAACAACTCTCGTCGCACACTCCCCCGGTTAAAGAAGTAACTAAACTTTAGAAATAAAAATATTGTTTCAACTTGTCTAAATTAGGTTAGTCAATTCAGTTTGAAAATATCTTGACAGGAAATCACAATAAGATTGTTTTCTTTCTTTGAAAGCTTCTTGTAATTTTAACAATGGTGGGGACATCTTGATTGCGTGATTACGTAATTACACCGTTTTTCTTTTAGACTACAAAGGTTAGTTAATCTCTTGTCAAAAGCATTAAATGTTCAGTTGTAAAAGAATATTTCGAAATATAATCTTATAGATATGCTATCTAGAATGGTAATAAACGTTGTACGTACCCAAATGTGTTTCAAGGTAACGAAGTAATTTCTGTTGACTGTTGTGCGCACTTTAAATTGTTAGATGTGATGGTTAATTGTTTGCTGTGATTGTAATTTGAAACTGTTGGACTTTTTTCACTAACTGAATTGTTATTTTTCGATTTCGTATGACACTTTCCAAGTAGATGACGTTGAAATTCGGGAGTATTCAGATGTGACTTCAGTAGGCCCCTAAAATTAGTTATTTTAAAATAAACAATATGTAGTATTAGCTATATACTTTCTTTCTCGAAACTGTTTATTATGTCAAGCAGATCACACCTTAGGATTTAAATATTTCTTACTTCCAATGGAGAGTGAAACGACCAAAAAAACCGACTCGTCCTGGTTTGAACGCAGGGAAACTGACCTCTGTGACCTAACGTTTAAATGTCCAAAACATACTTGAGATACACACGGTCACAAAACTCCCCGAAGGCAACAAAAATGGCGATTGTTCGCGGTTAGATCTATGGTACTATTCAACAACATTAATAACACCAAAAACTCTAAACTTCCTCAGCAGTACAGTTAGGCAGCAAAACAGGCAAGATAATTTTCTAAGTACAAGATAGCTACTGTTGAACAAAATTAGTTAACCTAAGTTCGACTGTAAGAAGTACCTTAGAATCAAGTAGAGTATTCCAAACAACATGGGATCAAAGCTCTGTCCATAAGATTCACACACCAACAACTTCCTCAGACAGTCTAAGGTCATGGGGGTGACAATACATGAAGCCAATAACCTCACTGCTTATTAGATTTCAAAGCTTAGAATCATATGTACACTTTGGAACGCAAGGAACGAGAAAAAAATCAAATTAAAATAGACCACCATCAACAGGTAATATTTTAATATGCTTGAGCTTTAAAGTTAAAGACAAATAGGCATTTGTGTGTATCTGCGTGACACATCTCCTGTTCACTTGAATTGATTAAGACCTAAAATTTGACTGACGTATCCAATGAAATACATATTCACTTCTGGAATATTTGATTAGACATTATTTCCTTGAAATTATAGAGAAGATTTGTACCTCAGAGGGATAATTTTTATTTAGTTGTGTTCTCTAAGCAGGTTGATTTGTAACTGAGAAGCTTTCGTTGTCCTACTAGACAACATCTTCAGTGCAGCCTACAAAATAAGTGGCGTGAACTTTGAAAAATATTCTACTGGTCATAGATGACGTTCTCTTCTATTTAAAATCCATGGACATAAATTAGCTGTGAAAAGATACAATATGTGTTCATTGATATCGAAGCACATCGACAATTACAAACACCAGTTTGACTGAGAAAATGTTAACATTTTAAGTAATGGAAACATTATAAATACCAGGGAACTCTTAGTAGCTTGGTACTTGGATGAATGAATCAGCAATTAACAGACACATTATTATGGGTCAAATTCATCAGTTAATAAAGCCACTGGACAAAAAAGTCGAATTTCAAGTCAGTAAAAACAGTCACTAAAGATATCATTACAACCAATCACTGGACTTTAATTTCCTTCTACTGTTGACATCGTGTGGTATGCGAAAAGTAATTGTTGTATCATTATCGATGTAGCTCCCCCTGCTTTTAGTAAAGATCTCACGAATGTGGTCACAAGCCTTTCTGCCAAATGTTTGAACTAGTGGGTGATGAAGTTGCATTCTCACTTACTGTACACTCTTCCTTTGAAAAACTTTATGCTTCTCTCCCTTTTTTCGAGGTCACTTTAACCGTTTCTTTGTTCAAGGAAGAGTGTACACACACCCTGTTCAAAGGGATTTCAGACAGTCATAGTCTTTCAAATCAGTTTAACCCCAGAAAATCCAGGTTTGAATTTTTTGCGTTGCATCTTCAGATAAATTGGACTTCACAGAAGTCGGTGTTGCACCTCAATTGCCCGTTCAAACGTAGTTCTCCATCACATGCACTTACTACTATCTGCTATGTCTTCTCCATGGTGGAGCATTGCACTTTCTGTCATAACTCCCTCGATATTATCGTCTAATGGGATGAAGAGTCTATTTGCAGATGTGCTGGCTGTGAGTTGATTGTCACCTCATTATATTTACGTAGAGCAGGAGTGCTGATATGATAGGCAGCTGTGATATCCACAGCTTTTGATGTGGGAAATAGACAAGACTGGCTTCTGGGTTTTGGTTGGAAAATCTACGTACAGTAACAATCTTTGTATCCAATGGTGTTGCATCTCTGGCATTTACGGTGCCTGTTCGGGTGTGACTTTACACAGTGCCAAGCCTCATAGCGCCTACATGCTAAAGGTGGACTCTCTTGTGAACGATGTGATGAGTTTGACCTTACCGAATCCACCTCATTTACTTCCGCCTGGTTGCCAGACTGGATGAAATAAGGCATCTTTACAAAGGTTGGTTAATCGCTGATATTCTTCTCGAATATCTCCCAACGTTATTTACTGGTCTTGTTAAAGTCTGTTAGCAAACTTGGTAGACTTTAAACCAAAAGTGAAGGTAAGGACTTTGAACTGATCTTCTGTCACTGACTTTAACTTGAGCTGTTCACATAAGTGGTTAACAACACCAAGCTGAATGCAAATATTATCGTTTTCGTTTAAAACCAGTTTCATACAGTGGTAACATATGGTGATCAATGGTTTATGATCAACAAACTGTTGATGGAGTGTCTAGACGGTTTCGTAAAATGTTTTGTCACTGGGCTTTTAGGGGAGAATCACTTTACAGTATTTGTCTAACTAAACTTCAGTAGTCAGAGTCTAACTTTCCAGGCTTTGTCTTTGCTCTTAAAATCTACTTTAAACAGGTCTTCGTATCTGTGGAAACAAGTATCGAGTGTAATGTTTGCCTCCGGATCATTAATGTCAGCTCATGATGAAAATCCTGTAACCAATCAAATCCCTACAAACCAACACTTGAATATCAATGAGATGCTCACTAGCGACTTGCCCTATTCAGGTAGGTAGTTACCTGGGGTTCTAGTGAGAAGTCGTACCCAGTAGGATGCAGCAGGTCGGGTGTGAGGAAAAATATTCGTCGAAGACATTGGCTAGGGGTTGCGCTATGTCGTGAATTGGTAGAAGTTAGAATTCATGCACTGGCCACTGGATCGAGTCCAAGTGGCTGAATGGTATACGAGCTTGCCTTGTAACCAGAAAGTCCTGGGTTCGACCCTTAGTGGGTGCGTATTGCCGATCATTCGCGAACTATGATGAAACAGCTATCCAGTACTCCGAGGTTTTCCAATGGTTCTCTAACTAATGTCAGCTCATGATGAAAACCCTGTAATTCAAGTATTTCTTTCAAAAGAATGTTTACTTAACAAAGAATATTCTTTTCTATAACCTGCTCTTCATCAGGTTCTACAGTTATATATGCACACAGCAGTCAATGGATTAGTGTTATTAACAAGATTCATGTTGTTTAAATAACTTGGAATCAATAATAATAACATCAATGGATTACAGTTGAATAGCATTAACATAAAAATACACTGAATATCAGAAAAATCAGGAAAGATAATAATACAAATTCATGAATTTATAGTCTCTACTGAAGGCCGGCCAGGGAAGTACTAGTGGCTGGACTTGCTTCTTCAGCATACGGATCACCTGTTGTTCAAGGCAAATCATGACAGCCTCTACTGTTCGCAGTATGCGGTACCTGGTTGATTTTAGCAATTTATTTAGTACCCGGTAGATGTTAGAGAAGGATTCTTCAATACTGGCTTTGCAACCGATTTGGACCACAAATATACTGCTTCCTATATTGTTAGTGTCTGCGTTTGAATCGGTACAGGATGATATGCAAAGACCTGCAATCAACTTCATTATTTTTAGCTGCTGACAAAACATCTCAGGCGATTCAATTGTATCATTCACGGAAAATTCAAATAAGTTCATTTAATTCTGAAGTCTTTGGTGAAGATATTGTCTAGAAGCACGGTGAAAGCTTCTCAGTTATAAATCAACCCGCTCAGAGAACACAGACAAATGAAAAACAAATTATTCCTTTGAAAAACAGTTTCTTTTACGCACAGAAAGTACCATTTATCGGGAAAGAAATGAAAATATAGTGACGTTTTGATTAATGTTTCACCAACCAACTTTGAAAGTGCCTTCGATATATATGTATGCAGAAAAAGGTCATTATAGCGGTTATAGTGTCTAGCATAGGATTCCAAAAAATATAGTACTAAATGTTTCATGATAAAAAAGGATTAACATTTTTCTTTTACACTCTTATAAAACCTCTTTTGTGTTTTTTTCTAAATTTACGCATTACTACTTATGTCTAAGATATTTTGCTTATAGTCTACCAAATGTTAATGATCGTGTCTACTGATTAATTATGATACTATAGGCGGCTCTTTTAGCGGAGCTAGTTTGCTGACTGTTCCATTATGCCTACAGTATATTGTTTATATAGAATAATGAATATATTTTTAATGCAAACAAAAAGAAGTCAATATTAGTAGAAGGCAAACATAGTTGCAAATTTAGATAATTAATTAGTGGTCTAGGAAGATAATATTTATTACTTAATATATTAGTCAGTAGATGAGAAAGAAAGATTAGTTAGGAAGTTGCATACGACTACCAAATTTTCAAGAGTTGTTTTGTAAGGATTAGATTTGTTTTTACGAGTTTGACGGAGGATTGATATCAATTAGAGAATCATTGAAAACCAGCAGGGAGTACTGGACAACTGTTTCATCCTAGTTTGGGAATCATCGGCAGTAGGCACTCACCGCCGTGGTTCGAACCCAGGACCTCTCGGTTACAAGGCAAGCTCGTATACCATTCAGCCACTGGGACCCGATTCAATGGCTAGCCCATGAATTCTAACTTCTACCATTTCGTGAATTTTAACGCGACCATCAACCAATGTCATCGGCAGGAACTCCATTCTCACTGCCGACTTGATGGACTTTACTGGTCATGACTTCTCACTAGAACTCCAGGAAACTCCATCCTGTAGCAAGTCACTAGTGAACATCAGATTAATTTTCAAGATTTGGTTTGTAAGGATTAGATTTGTTTTTACGAGTCTGACCACAGATTAATATCAGTTAGAGAACCACTGAAAACCAGGGAGTATTGGACAGCTGTTTCATCCTAGTGTTGGAAATCATCGGCAGTATGCAGAATTGCTAAAGAACATAGATTTCAGTGATCATTTCAACGATCATTTAGAATTATAATCAGA